TCTTTGCAGATGATTCCCTGCTCTTCTGCAAGGCTGGAGTGGATCAAGCAATGCAACTCACCTCTCTCTTGGATAAATACAGGCTCTTTACTGGACAGAAGGTCAACTTGCAGAAGTCTGGAATTTTCTTTAGCAGGAATACTCCCTCCAATTTGAGAGATAGCATCTGTAATGTTCTTCAAGGAATTGTTCCTCATAGATCAACAAGATACCTTGGGCTACCTTTGGGTATTGGCAGATCGAAAAAGGAAGCTTTTGACTTCATCTTGTCCTCCATCAGAAATAAGCTTCAAGGCTGGAAGAACAAACTTCTTTCTCCAGCAGGTAAAGAAGTCTTACTCAAATCAATTATTCAAGCACTCCCTGTTTTCTCTATGACCTGTTTTAAACTGCCAGTAGCCATTTGCAAAGAAATTTCTAGGCTGTGTGCAGCCTTTTGGTGGAAATCTGGTGAAAACTCTGATAGTGGTGGAAATCTGGTGAAAACTCTGATAGTGGAATTCATTGGAGAAAATGGGATAGACTCACTCTTCCCAAACTCAAAGGAGGCCTGGGCTTTCATGATATAAGCCTTTTTACTGAAGCTCTGATCTGCAAACAGTTATGGAGAATCATCTCCAATCCTGATCTTTTGGTTAGTAAAATCTTAAAGGATAGATATTTTCCCAATGTCTCCATTTTTAAAGCTGAAAAAACTCAAAAAGGATCCTGGTTATGGCATAGTTGGCTTTCTGTGATGCCTACCTTTGCACAGTGCATCAAAACTGAAATCAGGGATGGGAATTCGACCAGGATTGAGGATTATAATTGGGTGCCAAAGTTGAATAAAGCTCATCCGTCCCTCCTTGAGATTGCTAGAGGTCATTTGATATGGGTAAAAGACCTTCTGCTTAGCAATGGAACAGAATGGAATAAATGGTTGGTTGAGCAGGTCTTTTCCCCAGAGGAGAGTGCTGCAATCCTCAGCATTAATACTTTGAACCCTGATAGGGCAGATAGACTTCTTTGGAGTCTTGAACCCAAAGGGCACTTTTCTGTTGCAAGTACTTATAAATATTTGGCTGCTCTTAAGCTTAAGCAAATGGACATTCCAGAGTCCAGTACAAGCAACTTTCCTCCTCATCAGATATTCATGAGATGCTGGCAGTTAAAGATTCAAAGCAAAATCAAACACTTCCTCTGGAAATGCATTTCTGGAACATTGCCTTCTGCAGTTAACCTAAGAAAGAAAGGGATTGACATTGATACTACCTGTTCATTGTGTGGAGAACTGCCTGAAACAACAGAACACATTTTGTTTTCCTGCCCCAGAGCTAGTAGAATTTGGGAATCCTCTCCAGTTCAATGGGATGGCCTCCAGCACTGCACTTTCTCCTTCAAATATTGGTTGCAACAGGTCAGTTCAATCAAACAGAATGATGTTGTCAAAGATAGAATACAATTGTCTACCTACTTGCTCTGGTGGTTATGGAAGTCTAGGAATCTCTGGATTTTTAAAAGATCAGCCATGCCAGAGCACATAGTCATTTCTGCAGCTCTCAAAGATTTGATTGAAGCTTCTTCAGCAGCAGAATCTTGTGATGCTTTCCCTTCTAGTTAGTTTCATTTTTTCTTTGTATGGTTTTGGAGTTTTTGGTTCTTGGAAGTGATGTATTCTAGCTAGGCCTTGTGGCAGTGGATAGATGCATTTCTTCTTTTGTAGATTTGTCTTTGTTTCTTAGTTGTTGAGGCTCTAGATGCTTTGTGTAGCATCTCTCAGTTTATTGTTTTTGTTGGCTTTGTCTCTTGTATTGACTCTTATTTTGGTTGTTTAATATAGCTCCTCTATCGTTCTGGCCAAAAAAAAATTATTATTATTATTATTATTATTATTATTATTATTATTATTATTATTATTATTATTATTATTATTATTATTATTATTATTATTATTATTCTATGATTATTATTAGTATTATTCATACTAATTGTCTAATTGATCTTTAATTGTTTAATTGTTAAATAAATATTGTGTGTAATTAATATATATATAGTCGGTTTATTTTATTTAATTATCCCGGACGTCGTTCGATCGAGCCTAGATTATTAAAATCTTCGGTTTGGTGAATTTCGATCATGTTAACCCCGTCTTCGTTTCTGTCGATTCTATTGGTTCTCAGTATCTTAGTACTATTCGAGACTCAACTTTGAATCTATCGAGATCCATTTTAGCCCTTGTACTTTTATTCTCAGGCCTTTTAACAATTGAGAACCGGCCTTAAGGTCTTGTGTTGAACCAAACCTTGTTATTAAACCAGCCCAATTGTAAGTAGATAATTGTCGGCCCAATTATGAGTAAGTTGGCCAAATAATTCCTTTTTTCCCCTCGCGAGCCGGATACCATAGGGCATAACTTCTTTTTCTTCTTCATAATCGCGCAACCATCGCAATCCCTCCTCTCTCATCTTCTTCCACCCAACTTTAGCCAAATTCTCCTCCGATCAACTCTCCTCGTCGGCGCAAATTGCAGCACCTGAACTCGCCGGTTTCACCGTGCTCTGTGGCACCGCAAGCCGCCCGCAAGGATTCCGACGCAAGCCCGTCACCGCCATCCACCACTAGCTCCGGCGAGAAGACGAATGACGAACTTCTTCCTTTGCTCGCAATCGAACGACCCTTACAGCCGACACCAACTGCTGTTGAGTTCTGCAGCGACGCCATGCCGTGAGCAAGCCCTCGCGAGTCCTTCTCCGGTATACTGTGTGTGCGACCAATTGGTAATCTCCGGCAGGACGAGCGCCATCAGCGGCCAGGTCGAACCCATTTTTGGCAAGGGCCAACACACAACTGAGAAGTTCCCGTGGATCTGTTTTCGTCCGTTCAGCAGCAGCTACGCGTCGTTGAGAAGTCGCTCAGTCCGAACAGTGAGCAGCCAGGAGTCGTTCACGAGAACCGCCTAACGCCAGTACGAGAAACACCCTATCGCTGCCGTCCGTTGCCATCGTTGATCGCTCGTAAGGAGTCTA